ATATGTCTTTTTCTCTTCAATTACAAGGACGAACATCTGATTTTCATCTGGACAGCACAGGGTCAGAGCTGGAAAATGTTTCTTCAGGTGGAGAGGATGGATTTGGTAATGTATTACCAAAAAGTGTGTCCACCAGGCGTCGCTATTCAAAGATGAGAAATCACGATGAACTTTGCACTCGTGTCTTGGACCATCCAGAAACATCTGATTCAACAAAACAGCTTTCTAAACGGGATGAAATTAGACTTGAGGAAAGTCTAGAGAAGTGTACTGTAGAAAACATAAATTCAGATATTTCTCAGTTGAATGAAAACAAGGTAGGTTCAGACCTGGTGTTGAGGCAGATAGATTCTGAAACTGCGCAGTTCAACTTAAACAATAATTCTGATCTTAAAAAACGTGAGTGTAAAAGCAGAGAAGACTCTCAAGTAAGGAAAGAGAAGCATCAGAAGGGAAAACTGGAATGGCCTAAAAATACTTCCAGACAAAGACCAAAAAAAAGACCAAAGGGTAAAGAGGCTTCCAAAGAAAAGTTGGATTTCTTGGGTGGCTCCAGTGATGCTTATGACTTTCATTTTGAAGAGCGTGTCCATGTTACACCTTTTCGACAAAATAAGGTGAATGACATGGATACTGGTGTGGATGACAAAGACGACTTATCTGAAACTAATACCATCGAGTCGAGTGATACTGAAGAAGATTCAGATGATAGCCTCTATGAACCTTACAAAAGTAAATTGAAAAAAAGGAAAAGTTCAATGGACGAGAAAGATACATCGCCAGTCCATGCAAGGCCAAGGTCTAAGAGATGTTTGGCACAGCGTGAGCAGAAACTCCATAATGAAAAAGAGACGGAAAGCAATAAATCAAGTGACAAGGCAATTAGTAAGTGTAGAAAGTGTTTTGTAATTGGTTTTGTTTCCTTGAGAGATTACATTGTTTAAGGGATTTAGGCTTTTTTATTTTAGTTTTTTTAATAAATACAAACAGAATAATGTTATAAAAATCATTAGATGCATTCTTCTGTCTGCCTTTTTTTTTTTTCCCTCAGCAGAAATTGGAATTAAAGATATGTTTTGTTTAAGAAATCAGTCAACAATGAACTAATACTGTGTTTTACATGCGTTTTAATGATGTATTAAAGCTGAGGAAAAAGAAGGGAACAAGAATATAAATTGAGAGAGAAGTGGAATAACAAATCACATTTTGCCTGGCACTGCTTAGTGTTAATTTATTTTTCCAAATTAAAATTCTGAATATTTGTTCATCCTCTTATGTATTCTTAAGTGGAAGGATGAAGATAATAGTTATAGCTGAGAGTTACTTCACATCTAGTATGTTCATTGACATTCTCTTTTAAGCTAGCTTGCCTGAATTGTCTTAAGTGTGCCTAATTTCTTCCCAGGGCAGCCTTCTGAGCCATCTCGTGGTCATCTTTGTGATGTTACCAATACCGCTTCATTGCTCCCCAACACTGGGAATGCAGCTATTGTCCCAGAAGGTGAAGGACCACGATCTCCAAAACGCAAGCGAAGCTGTACTCTTACTGTGAGCTATAAAGAACCAAGCATTGCAGGGTAGGTGTCTTACTTTCCAGTTTGATATAAAGTTCATGATATTCCATCAAATGCAGGATTAGAAGGGATTATTTAAATATTGGAAACAGGTTCTTAATAAAACATTCTAAGAGAGGTCTGATGTTAGTAATACGAAATAGTTCATGTGAAATTGAACTTACTATTTAAGTGACGTGGGGAACAAAATTCAATTTTGCCTTTTTTTTTTTGTTTGGTGTGTTTTCTTTTTTTTTTAACAGGAAACTCAGGAGAGGAGATCCATTTACAGATACAAATTTTCTGAATTCTCCAATTTTCAAGGAGAAAAAAGATGCTAAACGCCATTCTCTTAAGAAAGAATCTCTGTCAAAATACAATGAGAAGTTTGTTGGTTGTCGTTGAGATTTCCACTTACGATAGCAAAACCATGCTCACTCCGTAAAGAAAGGAAATCTTTCATCTGGGAAATTATTGTTGCGCAGTATCTTACAGAAATAATTGCATATTTGTCTGTGTCTAATATTAAGGATATAAAATTAAGGGGTTTTGGTTTTAAACCAGTGATTTGTTTTTAATGATATAGAAGACACAAGATGACTATTATAACTAAGGTGATTCCATTCAAACTCTTTTGAGAGGAGGCATCCCTGTATCATGGATCTGTGAGCATATCAGACATATCTGATGGAAAAGATGGTGAATAATTTTATGACTTATACCCTACTTGATCTCACAGTGGTTGGCAAGGGTGAACTTTAGGCACTTCAGAACAAATGGTTTTGTGGGGGTTTTTTTAATAACAATGTTTGTACAGATCTTGTTTACGTAATGGTTGTAGTTTCATATTGAAGCTCATAATAAATGTCTTAGTGTTCAGAAACAGCTCAGAGTTGGTGTTCTTTTTGCATGGTTTCAATATTCCCTTTCTGTAATAAAAACGTATAGTGTTAATTACTGTTGTACTGGTACCTTCTTACATGACTCTCTCAATGGTAATAATAAAAGCTACAGCTACTGAGTGTTTGAAAGTACTTGTTCACAACACAGCCTTTGGATATTGGAACTGAAACTTAACCTTCAATTTGTATCCTAAAATTCTAGCTCTGGGTGTTACCATCTTCATTCTGAAACTCTTTAGTACTATAGGAACTTACGCAGAATGATTTAACTTCAGGTGCTCTTTTCTTTCAGGAAACAAATCTGTAACAGCTGTTTATCAGGGACAGAAAAAGAAAAAGGTGATAGCAGAGCAGCCTAAGGCAGGTCTGGGGTTCTTTTGGATTGAGTAAGCTTGAAGAATTGCTGCAGTTCCATCACAACTGCAGGAAGGAGTCTGGTCTAGCTCACCTAATCTCAACTGCTATCCCTAGAAGTGTCCAGGAAAATGGCTAAACCTCTTTTGACCACTATTTGCTACCCTCTGAACAGTACACGTTTATGTGATGTGGCACAGGACTAAATCTTAGTGGATGGGGGGGAGGGATCTCTTCATACTCTCCAATTGTCTGTCAGGTAGTGGACAGGTGTAGGCTTTGTTTATGGTATGCAAAATAAGGGTACCATCTGAGTAACATCGTGATAGCAGGCAAGTACAAGCTCAACATCAACTGTAGTTTGCTCCCTATGTATATTGTGTCTTGTGAATAAAGGACTCTAGTAGACAAAAATGAGAAAACGGCATGAGCATGCTTTGAGGTGAAAAATCAAAACTTTTGAACAGCTCAGCCAAAGAATTGTTTGAGATGTTGAGCAGACAGGAGTAGCTACAGCGCTTGTAGCTCAGTAAGTATGGAGCTGGGAAAGCTACTTGGAATGGCCACAGCTTTCCATACCGAATTCTCAGCTCAGCACAGCACACCATGCTGCCAGTGAACTCAGGGGCTTTTTTGCATATTTTCTAGTGTACCTGGAAGAGTCACTGACTGCACTCTTGTAGATTCACTGTGTTCAGTTGTGAAATTACTTCAGTGTGTATATTTGTAGTGCAAGAACTAATTAATGAAAAAAGAGACCAAAATAAGTAGGGTTTTGTACATATATAATTTAAAACTATTGTGTACCAGTACAATATATTAATTTTACAAATGTAAAGTTCATCAGCTGTTAAAGCATTTGCAAAACCACATATCCTACCGTAACTTTATTGCACAGTATCTATGAAAATATTAATTCTTAAATTAGAAAACAAATGTTTCAATATAGAAGAGACAATCTGATTGAAAGACAATAAGAAAATCTACTCCGAAAATAACAAAATTTCACAGGATACCAAGCTTAACAGGTGCATCTGTAGGCCCAATCTACAAAACAGGATTATAGCATCCAGTACTGGCTATTAAAAAAAAAAAAAAAATACTCACTGTACCTTTGTTATAGATCCAAATGTAGGTCAGGCTAACCTCAAACAAAACACTATGGCAAGTCTAGTGTTAACATTTTGAATACCTCGTGTACCACATTTACCACTTCCAGGTTGTTCCTGACATCTACTTGCTGAATCAACTTGTGATTTAACATTGCACAGGCATTTTGCAGGAATATATTCTTTGACACAGCACAGGATTAGGTTTTTTTCAGTCTTATAACTATTGATTTTTACCAGTGTAACATCTGTAAATATAAAACACCAAGGAGGAAAGTTAAATCTGTTTTTCACAAAAGCAATTATAATTTACAGTTACAAACTCTAAATAGAAAACGTCATGTGACAACTTTTTGGCCTGTACTGATCTCCATTATGAAGTTAGGTGTACCTCTTAAATGTAGTGTAAGCAGCAAAATATATATATTATATATATAAGTGCTCAATTTGAAGATATACTAACGTGAGTTGTAAAACATTAATATGTTCCTGGGTCTAAATAATCACAGTTAATAAGCATTTACAATAAAGCTTGGTAGAAAATCCAGTTTACCACAGAGCGAAGTATATAAGCTAGAAGCTGTCATAAGTTGACTTCTTCTGTGTACAATAGTCTTATCTCTGCTGAATAATCTAAAGAATTTATCAGCGAAGAGTAGTAAATAGGGTGGATCATGAAGTGCATCAAAACCTTAACTCTACTAAGCCAATTGAAATTGTCTAGTATATGCGAATCAGATTCTCTGAAGTTATTTTGGGTACTTATGTCCTGCATAAGCCAAGTCACTATGACATTACACATCTAGCCAGATTTTTTTTTTTTTTTAAATAGTGGTTATGAGATTACAATTTGCAGGTAAAATATTTATCAAAACCCAAAATGAATAGAAAAGCTTGCACCTATCAAAGATTACAGGCAGCCCTTTTTCAGAACTGGCTGCTCTTCTCTCACAGCTTCTCAACCAGCTGAGTGTTTCTTTTAAAAAATAATATCTTATAAAAAGATTCTATAAAGAAACAAGTGTTTCAGACCCCCCCACACACCTGTTGTTTTCCCTTACTGTTTTCTTTTTTACTGGAAAAAAATAATAAAACTTTATCAAATAGGTACTGCATTAGGTAAGCTATAACATCTGTTGTCTGGGAATTTTCTCCACATTCCCAAACATGTGCAATTTCCCACATGTTTTGTGGGGTTTCTGAGGCTGTAGCTGTTAAACTTATTATGAACATACGGTAATGGGCACACAAAAGAAATCTTCCATAATTAAATACACTATAAAGCATTTTAATAAAATAATTTTTGTAACTTCAGTATAATACATGTTTGCAAAACTAAAAGGGTTTTTAAAAGTGCTAAGTATTAAACAGAAGTTTCTTGAAACCCTAGAGTCCCACAACTCAGATATAGAACGGCTTCCCCTGCCCATAAAGTAGGCACACTGATTGGTTGTAAAAAAGACAGTGTCACTTGTCAATTAATCCAGCTTCTTTAATTTTTGTGTAGAAGAATTTCTCCAGTATATTGGCACATTTGTAGTATTCACTCTCGGGGGGGTTGTACTCTCTGCAATTTGTAAAGACTCGCTGCAAGTCTGCCATGAATAATTTCTTAGACACGTAGTACCTATTCTTGAGTCGCTCACTCATTGTTTTGAGATCTGTACAGGAGAAAAATAGATTAACAGCGTTTGATTCAAATACTTTTTATTTGCAATATCCCTTTAGACTGATTTGCCTTTTAACATGAACTGGCAAAGCTATGACTTGGAATTCCTAATTGCCTTCATCTAAGGCACAGTCCCTTTTTCAGCTTCAACAGCAACTGAGCCCCTGGAACTAAGCAATATTTCACTCTAAGAATGATTTTGTATAGAGTTTATTTTTCCTTCTTTAAAAGATGAAAGCATCATTCTTTTGTGTTCTCATACTTCCCTGAGTTTTCAGTGGGTATTAGGTGTCCCTAACTCTCCTCTAACTGCTCTGTGAGGCAAAGCTGTTGTCAGCTCTGCTGGAGGAGGCCTTAGGACTGGGTGTATAAGCAAAGAATTCAATCACAAAACATGGATGTTAACCTAAAATCCTCACTTCTCTGCAAACACAGCAGAGAAGAGACATCTGTCTATACTACAAGCAGTACTTGCAGCTTTGACAAAAGATTAAATGTTCCACGCTTTACATATATTTTAATTACATCTTCAAAGTTTATAGTTATGTATCCCTTTTTAAGAGCCATGTGAGAAGAGATCTCTCCTGCTTTCAACGCATCATACAAAACCTTTACTTACAGAACATTCTTTAAGATATTTTTTCCTTTATACTAAAATCAGTCATCCATAAAATACGTAAATCATCTCAGTGTTCTCCACACAGTCTCTTTCCCAGTAATTCTTATCAGGCATATAAAAATTTTGTCTACATTACAAGTGTTCTAGGAGTGAGTGCAGGAATAGAAGTAGTGGGAGGTGTGCTGGATGCCTTGGCTTTTCTCACCTCAGATGCTCCAACAACTATTTTTTTAGCAATGCTTGAGCCAGGCTTCAGCAGCACCTTCATGAAACCGCTAACAGAAACAGCCGAAATGGAGAAGACTTACGGCCAACAAGTATTGCAAGGAAAGTAGAGACCAAAGATCCCCAATGCAAAGGAATTAAAACTTCAGATTTAAAAATACGGTTGTAGGTATTTTTGTTTTGGTTTGGTGGGGTTTGTTTTGTTTTGTTTTAAGGGAGATTTGACTTTGGTAAAATAGAGAAAAACCCAGTCAAATTGACAAGCAGGGATTATTTAAGAGAAGTTTGATGGATGCTCTCAAATACCTCTTCCAATGATATATAACTTGCCATTCACTAGTGTTGCACAATATTTTGCAAAAGCAAAGGCTCATTCAGCTCCCATTAAGTCTGAAACTCAGGTGCCTACATCTAAACTAGATATCCATAGTCTAATTATAGTATCCAACTGAGAAGGCTATTCAGCTCACCCTGAAGCAAACATTGCCTGGCTGGTCAGTTAAACCATTCTGTAACTACAGTGAAAGTTTGGCTCCAGCTGTCACTCAGCCATACAGCTTTTGTATTACAGATGAAAAGGACAAAAACCCAAACAGTATTTTTTGAAAATAAGCAGCTGAAAGAGCACTTAAAACAGGGGAAAAAAGTTTTTATACATGAGAACTGACCTTAAGAGGTAGTCAAAAAAACCTACAACCACACCTCTCAAATATTGTACAATTTGGTCTGTATGCAAACGTAAAGAGAAATGTTGTATCTTGTATGTGATAGCATAAGAAAAGACAATGCTGTTTCTTTTTAATTGAAATCATGTCTGAGCGATTTTTGTACAGTATCAGCATGCTGGCAGTGAGAGCAGAAAGCAAGCAGAAGTTGATCATGAATAAAATGCAGTTTAGTTGTGCTGGGTTCCTTAGCTGAAAAAACAAAGCAAAACTAAACCAAAGACCTCAGCTTACTCATAAAATGAGAGCTGCTGCCCCCACCTCCAATGTAA